CATTCCTATCCAAAATACTCCAGACACAATAGTCCAACGGATTGATATCCAAAGATTTTGCTGGCCATTGAGCGTTGGGAATGTAGCGAGGAACCTTATTTTGTAACCATTCTTGGGTGGCGTGTGCTGAGTGCGATGGTGCTGACTCCTGTTGGAATGTCCGAGGTCTGCGACCAAAATGTTTGCGTGCCCAAGGCTTCAATACACCCTCCAGAATATTTTCGTGATATAATTTGTCATTTATTCTGATGCCACGGTCGATTAATACGAGCGGAGAGCGACCATCGGCTGTTATGGCGGCCCACACCATCACCATGGCCGACACTTAAGTTCTGGTGGCCAATCGAAGGTGCACATTTTCAGCTTACCTCTTTGGCAAGAAAACACGATCATTTTGCTTGTTTACAAACTGCTAGACAACGAATATTTTCTCATCGGAGAAAACCAAATTCTGCAGTTCACCACTTTCGGCCAAGCCAAGCAATTCCTAAGCTCTTTTTTCTTTTTGTTGCGGTGCAAGTTCTTGCACATTTTGGAATTTCAATGACTTTACCCCGAGCTCATTTTTTTATATTTGCCGAATGGAAAATTACGATATGTTCAGCTCACGAGCCATTTTTCGGCCACTGCGACGCGTGTTTCGATCAAGTCGCTTTTATACTTTTCGAACCATTTGTGCTGATGTACAGTATCACGGTAACGAGCGATGGTACGAGACACAAAAGATTTATTCACATTTAAATGCTGGAGTGCTCTAACGATATCCACTTGTAGTTTTCCAGCAAAGTGTAAAGAAATCACTCTTTAACGCTTGAATTCCATCGCGTATAAATGTTTTTCTGGAAAATTCTCACCAAAATGGTTTTGTACGCTTGTAACCCATATAATGAGCTATCATTGGAATAATTTTAACAGCTGTCGGACGAGTGGCTTAGAAATTACAAATAGGTCCACGTATTATAACGATACCAACCGATATTCGGTATTTTGATAATACTATTCACATTTAAGAAGATTTGGTAGATAACAATCCTTGAAGTATAACATTGCCTATATAGATTCCAATTTTGGTATGGCCCCCATATAACGGCCTCACCCACTTTATGGTTGGAGTTTAAATTCAGATACTTTTATAAACAAGTAAGCAAAGGCTACAGTCGAGCGGGGCCGACCGTTGAATACCCTACAACACTACAATAAACGATACAATCTATATAGGCGAGAAACTCGAAAGAATTCCACAAGATATTGTGACAAATAATAAAAGAAAACCATCAGGTTTCGTTCTCTAATTTTCAAATAATAGCAACATAAACTAATTTGCTCATTTCCAATTTATTGGTAGGTGTTGCACGTAAATGGTCTTCCTAGATCTGGAACCAATATTTCCCAAAGACCTATAATCTCTCAGAAGTGGCAAAAGATTAACATTTATTGTTGGTTTTTGACTGAAACGCATCTATATGAGATACAGACATTTGACTATATTTTTCAACGAAATCAGCGTTAACGAAATAGTCAGAAGTGCGTCTTTCCTGTATTTGTGAATTCTCCAAAAAGTCACTGGAATGGGCATTGTCGTATTTTGTCTACAAAAGTTGGCAAATTTCACACATTGAATATTTTTGGATGGCCATCCAAAACTGCTTGGCTTTTTCAATGCCCGTAACCCCCATTCAAATGTGCGTGAGGACCGGGCAATAATTACGACCTGCTAACAATTTTGCAGTTTTTGGTCCATTTCAACCCCTAAATATACGGCGATCATCTCCAAAAAGAGTAGGCTTCTATTCTGACCCTCATCTTATCCCCATGCAAAATTTCGTAAGGATCGGGCCATAAATGCGATCTGTATATGATATCCTGATATCCTAACTACTTAGTTTTGTTAGCTGTAGAAATATTACCAAATGTTTAATTCAAAATGAAAATATGCCAAAAATATGACAAAATTGAAAAAATATGAGAAAATTTACAAAATCAATATTTTCATCTTTAGAGAGATATTTTTATGCGATTTTTAGGCGTTTTTTCTTTTCTGCCAAGAGGCCATTCTGATTTATTGAGAACTGTCGAAATCAGTTCAGCCGTTCTCGACATAAAACATATATATCGCACATATTTTGCTATATATCCGATTTGTTGGATCTTAACATCAATGTAAAGATCAGAAGTACCCTTGTCATGGCTTTGTGATTTCGCAGGGATTTAAAATATTCGCGGTTTAATGAAAAATTTTGAATTTTTTCAACAAAAAAGATATGGTCTATTTTACCCGCTAAATATTATCCGATGACCACCCAAATTGGTAGGCTTCTTCCCCGCCCTAAGCTCTAGCTACATGCGAAGTTCCGCGTCGATTGGTCTATAATTGCGACCTGTATAGCTACTGCAAAATCCGACATTTTTTTAGTTTTTGGTCCATTTCGACCCCTAAATATTATGCGATCATCTTCAAAAGAAATAGGGTTCTATTCTGACCCTAGCCCCACCTACATTATAAATTTCGTGAAGATCGGGCCATAATTGCGACCTGTAGAGTGATTACAAATTAACATGGACAGACGGACGGACGGACATACATAGCTAGATCGACTCAACTCGGCGAGATAGGAAGATCCATATATACTTTCCTATGTGGGAAATCAATATTTCGAGGTGTTACATAATTTTTGGCCCAATCAAACTTATAATACCCCCAACACATAGTGTTGTAGGGTATAACAATTGTTTTCATTACCCAATAATGGAGGGTATTAAAATTGCGGCCCGGTCGAAATTAATCAACAACACTATGTGTTGGGTGTATTATAAGTTTGATTGGGCCAAAAATTATGTAACACCTCGAAATATTGTTTTCCCACATAGGAAAGTGTATATGGGTCTTCCTAGCTCGCCGAGCTGAGTCGATCTAGCTATGTATGTCCGTCCGTCCGTCTGTCCATGTTAATTTGTAATCAAGCTACAGGTCGCAATTATGAACCGATCCTCACGAAATTGAAAATGGAGGTGGGGTTAGGGTCAGAATAGAACCCTATTGTTTTTGGAGATGATCGCACGATATTTAGGGGTTGAAATGGACCAAAAACAGAAAATCTTCCTGATTTTGTAGTTGCTCTATAGGCCACAATTATGAGCCAATCGACGCGAAAATGGAGTTAGAGTTTGAGATTGGGCAGAAACTTACCAATTTGAGCGGCCATCGTACAATAATTAGCGGGTCAAATAGACCCTAACTTATATGTTAGAAAATAGGAAAATTTCCCCAAAATCGCGAATATTTTCAACCCCAGCCAAATCACAAATACATTAAAATATCACTCCTGTCCATTGCAGTGATGCTAATAGCCAAGAAATCGGATATATAGCAAAATAGGTACAATACATATGTAAAAGAATTGATCTTATTTATTCTGCTTATAAATCAAAAACCGCTGGGCGATTTTCACAATTCCCATCAATTCGGAATGGTCTCTTGCCAGAGAAGAATAAAATCTAAGAAAAGAAATAAAATCTAAGAAAAAGTTATATCTTTTGTTTCATTTTTGTCATATTTTTTTGTAGCATGCCATTTTTTTCAATTTGACTTACAATTTTGAATTTTAAATTTTCTAAATTTTTCCACCCCCACTACACTACGTTTTGAGAGTATTATATGTATGTCGCAATTATCGTCCGATCCTCACGAAATTTTGCATATGGGTGAGGTCGGAATTGAAGCCTATTGTTCTTAGGATGTGCATATAGAGGTTTAAACGGCTAAAAAATTTTAATTTTTTCTAATTTTTTAGTCGTTCTATAGGCCACAATTGAAAACTAACCGACACGGAATTTCGCATCGGAAGAGAGTTGAGGACAGAGAAGAAGTCTAGCATTTTGGATGACCATTGAATTATATTTAGCTGTAAAATGGACCACAACTTTCGTGTGCAATTGTTTTGAATACTTACAACACTACGGAGTGCGTAAATATTGGCCAAACTCTCCGGGTCAAAAACCTAAGGGTAACCTCTGAGCAGGGCTCTTTGGCATTATTTCAAAAACGAAATCTTCCAAAATGGATTTAGATATAAGGGGACTTCGAACATATTGTAGTGTTGTAGGTTATCACGTGGTCGGCCCCGCTTGACTGTAGCCTTTGCTTACTTGTTTTTAAGTTGTTTTAGCTTCAGTCGTTTCGTCTGGACGCTGAATCTCGATCAGTCAGTTATTTCACTGCTATTTATATAGATTACGTTCTCTATAGCCCAATTACGGTGCTTCATTCAAATAGTTATTGGTGTTTAGAATTTTCTGGCCACACTTTCCAAATAAATGAGCTGGGCTCTGGTACTTTGGCTCCGAATGAATATACACACGTCAACTTTCGGTATTAAGGAACACATGCGATTAATGACACAATTTCAAACCTACATTCGGTTTCCATGCTAATCAAAAACACTTGAAACATTTCCCAACTATACCCTAATCTATTTCATTTCCATTATGCGCCATACAAACAACATAATAATAGCTTTGCCTCTAAAATAAGGAGTTGTTACACAGCCTTTAATTGAATTCAAGTAGACCTTTCTCAGTCTTCGAATATCTACAGAACAGATCTTATCTGCCAAACAAATCACACGGATTTGTTATTAATAGTAGACGAAAAAGGCATTGTAGTGACAGAATATGCTCGAAAGTGACATTTATACGACTCAGTCAGAATGAGACCACACAGGTTGATTGTCACGGCTATCGGGGTTGCGTTATTCCTGTCTAAATCGAATGTGGCTGATGTTACGAACATACGCGATCAAGTGAATTTTTATGGTAACCTCTTAAAAGACATACATAAGGAACGTGGATATGATACCTTGGTTATTGTACATGAGGATGTTAACGTTGATTTGAGACTTAAGGAAATCTATGGGTTTCCTCATCCGAAAATATTTCTATCGAAACATTTTGAATTTTTCTATAAACAAGATTTCAATTCGGAAATTTTTGTAATAATCATAATGTCCGGCGCTTTGGATTTGGAACTAATGGATATTGCTGCCAGATCATTAAACTATATACGGCAATCGAGGATATTAATAATTGCTCGGAATATTAGCAATGAAGAAGAATTTATGGTGGAATGTTTGGCTCTACTCGAAGAATATCCCATGACAAATGTTTTGCTATATTTTTTAAAAAATTCATTTGAAATCCCATTGGACTATCAACAACTGAAACCGTTTCCAGAATTTCATTGGCAGAAGAGGAATTTCAATGAAAAGGATTTGAAATATTATCCCCAACATTGGCGAAATTTGTATGGAACAAATATCACCACCCACACTGATCAGTCCCTACCCTCATCCGTGACCTACATTGATGAACGGGGAAACTTAAAACTAAATGGACATGTGGCCAGATTGGTGTTACTTTTTGCGGAATATTTTAATGGCACCCTGAGAATGTATAGACCACTAGAAATGAACGGATTTACCCATTTCACCGTTGTCGCTGATATGGCCACCAAACGTTTGATTGACATTGCCATGTGTCTGCACGTTATATCTACACCTGGACATAGTACTTGGACTTATGCCTCAGATGTTTATGAAATAGGCAGGGGTATGATTATTGTGCCATGTTCACAGCCCCTATCTATTGGAGATATGTTTGAAATTCTTTTGAATGAATATTTCTTTGGCATGGTCATAATTTTTACGCTACTATTCTCTATTCTTCATTTCGTCATCGAATATTATTTTGATGGCGAATTTAGCTATACGGATCTGATTTTTAATAATCGCATAATTAGTGGAGTTTTGGGTCTATCATTTTCTGGTCGCAACTCACCATGGCGTGGCTTGAAACTCATTTACATTCTTCTATTCTTTGCTGGTCTGAACATCAACGCCCAATTTTCGGCCCGTATGAATACCCTCTTTACAAGTCCTCCAATGCACAAACAAATCGAAACTTTGTGGGATATACGAAACTCGAATTTGAAAATAAATGTCCTGAGAGGTGATCTCGCCATTATGGGCGGCATAATGTTGGATATTTTTCGTTCGTTGATTATCACCGAAGATGTTGCTGAATATTCCAGAATGCGTTTTAATTTCAATACCACAACCGGTTATTATGCGACATTGGCGCAATGGAAACTTTTCAGTTTGAAACAAAAATATCACAGTCACAAAACCTATTGTACCTATGAAAATTTGACCTTACATAAGTTTATACCCTGGAATATATTGCTGCAGCCAAATTCTCAATATAAGGAAGCTTTTAATTACCTTCTACATCGAGTTCATGAGGCGGGATTATCAGATGCCTGGTATGCCAGTGCATTTAATGATTTATTGAAATTGAAACGTTTATCACTGGCGGATCCCAATCCAGAAGGTGGACCAAGTACAATGACCGTCGACGACTTGCGCTGGGCATGGTTGGTAATTATCATTGGGTTAGCTGTTGGCGGAGGAATATTTTTATTGGAATCGTGGTATCATCATCATCATAACCGATATTCGGAATAAAAATATTAGGTTTTAGAGATAAATTATGTCTTATTTATTTTTAAAGAGTAATGAAAATAATAAAAGCAAAATTCAAGAGAACAATTATTATACCCTCAGCCATATGGCTACAGAGGGTATATATCATTTTTTATGAAGTTTATCATCTATACATATCATAAAGTAGTGAAATAACAGACTGACTGTCGGAGAATCAACGCCCAGACGAGACGGTTGAAGCTAGAATCTTCAGATTTTAGTCCTAAGGGGTCGGACCAGGCTGGGGTTTTTTAAATTCTTACTAGAAAGGTACGAAAAGTATTAACAGGTACTAAATATGGTACCCTTTGTATTTGAGGAAGCAGTAGAGCTAGAAATCTTAAATTTGAAATGAGGGTCACTAATGGAGTGTATGATAGATGTACCGAATTTTTTTTTTTTTTTTTGAAATTCGTACTATAAGTGTACGAAAATTACTAAAATATACGGCATTTTGGACGATTTCGTATCATGTGAGCCGTTAGAGCTAAAAACTTGAAATTTGGAATGGAATCTAGGTTGAGGATTAGGGCGGATGAAAGGAGGTAGTTTTAGTGTGTATTCATATATACGAACAGCACAAAGAGGTACTAAATCTAGTACAATTTGAATAAGGAGGAACGGATGAAGCTGGAATTCAAAAATTTGAAAATAATATTACTGGCGTAGTGTAGGATGTAGGATATATGGAGAAAGTTTTCGAAATTTATACTTATGTGCACGAAAAGTACGAAATGGCACTAAATTTGGTACAATTTCGATTTAAGGTTTGTTTTTGAAATTTGTACTATGTGAGGGTACATTGGGATCAGTTTGGTTTAAGTTTGAAACAGTCAGGTTTAGTGTGATCGGCTGAAGCTGAAAAAGGTGGTTCTAGATGTGTGTACATTTGGAACAATTCGGTTTTGAATAGATAGTGCATGAAATATGACATTTTGCATTAGGATCGCTGTTGTTTTAGAAACGTGCATGATATTTGTACGAAAAGTACTGAATGGTAGTATATTTGGTATTAAGTGAAGGGATAGAGAAACAATTTGATTTTAAGATTACCGGCGGTAACTGTGTTTGATATTGGGCGTTGGTTTTGAAATGTAACCTATATTTGTAGGAAAGTACTAAATGGTACTAAATTTGGTGTTGTGTGAAAAGATAGAGCTGAAATCCTGAAATTTTATATTGCGGTTACTGTTAAATATATTGCGGTTACTGCAAATGAGTACTAAAATTACACGAAATTACTAAACTGTGCTACATTTGGTATTGGGTGAAGGCATAAAAATGAAAATGGATATTTAGTTTGCTGATGGTATCTGCTTTTTGAGATTTGGCGTTGGTTTGGAAATGCGTCCCATATTTGTACGAAAAGTACAAAATGGTACTACATTTAATTATTGGGTGAAGGGATATGGCTGGAATGCTCTAATATTATATTAAGATATGTGGTGGTATGTGGAATTAAGATATGACGGTTGTTTTAGGAAATTAGTACTAAAACAAGTAAAAAGCTGTAATTTCGGCCGGGGCGAACTTTAAAAACCTTCCAACATTTGGTGCAAATTTGCAAATTTTCACAAAAATAAAATCCGTTAAAAATTCTGTTAAAATCTTAAAAAACCATATATTAGGGTCTATACGACGACGTTGACCTGAACAGACAATTTTCTGTCTTAGGCTGTAGTATTCATTAAGAACTTCAAATGCCAAATTTGAAATTGTTCCGGTAAATAATGTCTCTAAAATCATCAAAATACCAAATTTGAAACAATTTCGGTAAATAATTTCGCTAAAATCATCAAAATACCGAATATCGGGGGGAGTACCGTTATATGGGGGCTATACGAAGACGTGGACCTACATAGCTCACTTTCTGTCTTAGGCTGTAGTATCCATTAAGAACTTCAAATACCAAATTGGAAACAATTCCGATGAATAATGTCGCTAAATTCATCAAAATATCGAAAATGGGGAGGTACCATTATATGGGAGCTATACCGAAACATGGACACATTTGAGTAAAATGTTATTAACCTACTTAATTTCGTTCAGAAGCTTTAGTGATTTCCAGAGACGGACGGACATCGCTAAATCGACATAGAATTTTAGGCTGATCAAGGATATATATGTTTTGTGGGGTCTAAAATGTATATTTCGATTTGTTACAAACGGAATGACAAACTTAATATACCCTCCATGCTATGGTGGAGGGAATAATAATACGAAGAGTACTAAATTTGGCATTAGGTACTAAATTTGGCATTAGGTTTAGTGATAGAGATAAAATTCTGAAATTTTATATTGGGATTAACGATGTTATCTGAGATAGCAATGGTTTGGTGTTCTATATTTGGGTGAAGTTGTGTCTGGAATTCAAATATGGAGGTGGTTTTGGAAATATGTGCTATAATTGTTCGAAAATTACTAAATGTGATACTGGGTTAAGGAATATAGCTGAAATCCTGAAATTTGGTTTCTGTGGTTAAGATATGGATGTGTGTATTGGGTGAACAGAAAGTGCTTGAAATCTGAAATTTGATATGGCGTTTATGGTTGACAGAAGAAGCTGGTATTGGTAATATAATTGTACTAAATGGTACTAAATTTTGTAATAAAGTAAAGTAATTAAAAAGTAAATACTCAAATTTGATATTATCGATCGCTGTTGCTATCTGAAGTTGAGACATGTAGATTGTTTTCAAAATGTGTACCTCAACTGTGCGAAATGAACTAAATGTTACTAAATTGGTATTTGGGAGGAAAGATAGAGCTGAAATCCCGAAATTTGATATGGATGTCATTGTTGGGGAAGAAGTTAAGAAAAAGAGGTTGTTTTTAGAATGCGTAATATAAACGTACGAAAGGTGCAAAATGCCACAGTGTGTGCCGTTAGGTATTATGAAGTAATTCGGAAATTTTGTATCGAAGTCGTTGTAGGTTGGAGAGAAGGTGGTTTTGGGCATGCAAAGCATAGCTGTTGAAAAGTATGGTAAGAATTTTAGGATTGGAGCTTAGGATAGAGCTGGAATTCTGAAATTCGATGTGGAGGCCAGTGTTAGTTTATAGTTTTGAGAGAAGAAGGGTGGATTAAAGAATGCGTACGATTGTTCGAAAAGTATTAAAGGTTACCAAATTTGCCGTTGAATTTTTATTATAAAACCAGTAAGGAAAGCTCAAAAGTCGGGCGGGGCCGACTATATGATACCCTACACCACTATGAATATTTAGTAGAGCTCTCGTAAAAAGGTTTATACAGGGCATTTCAGAGCTCTATGAGATATTTGGTACAAAATTAAAATCTATCTAATTCTATCGTGCATTTTACGAACTATAGCTATCTCTGAACCGGGTTTCTCCAAATTTGACGTATTAGCTTCTAGACTGAATTCGGTCTTATGTACGAAAATTCATGCCATTTGGGCTGATATTGGCCATTTGATGCACAATTAACACGAAATCGGATGAAGATGGGAGCTATAGCTATATCTGAACCGATTTTTACTAAAATTGGTATACTTGCTTCTAAGCTGGTTTCGGTCGGATTTGCCAAAATTGATGCTATTACGGCCATTTGGTGGTCAATCACCCGAAATCGGATGAAGATATATATGGGAGCTATATCCAAATCTGAACCGATTTCGGTAAAATTTAAAACAGCTATTCCTGTGCTCCATCTAATACCTGGTACCAAATATCACGGTTGTGGAGTGTATATTACGAATGTAAGGGACTAAAACACTAAATCGGATGAAACATATATATGGTTGCTATATCTATATCTGAACCGATTTTCACTAAATTTGATATACTTGCTTCTAGGCTGAATTTGGTCCGATGTACTAAAATTCAGTCCATTTGGACTTATATCGGCCATTTGGTGCACAATTAACCCGAAATCGGATGAAGATATATATGGGAGCTATATCCAAATCTGAACCGATTTCAATAAAATTACAAACAGCTATTTCTGGGCTGTATCTTTTATCTGGTACCAAATATCATTCTTGTGGAGTGCATATTACGAATGTGAGAGGATTAAACACCAAATCGGATAAAACATATATATGGGAGCTATAGCTGTTTCTGAACCGATTTTCTCCAAACTTGTTGTATTTGCTTTAAGGCTAATCTCGGTCACATGTGCCAAAATTCGGGCCATTTGGGCTGATATTGGCCATTTGGTGGCCAATTAACCCGAAACAGCTATTTCTGTGCTCCATCTAATACCTGGTACAAATATCACGGTTGTGGAGTGCATAGTAGGAATGTGAGGGACTTAAAGATCAAATCGGATGAAAGATATATATGGGAGATATAGCTATATCTGAGCCGATTTTCTCCAAATTTGATATACTTGCTTCTAGGCCGAACTCGGTTGGGTGTGCCAAAATTCAGGTAATTTGGACTGATAGTAGACATTTGGTGCACATTTAACCCGAAATCGGATGAAGATATATATGGGAGCTATATCTAAATTTGATCCGATTCTCACCAATTTCAATAGGGTTCGTCCTTGTCCTCGTCCAAAAAAATATTGTTTGGAAAATTTCATCTCAATCGGATAATAAATGCGACCTGCATTTTGTTCACAAGAATACATGGACAGACGGACAGACGGACGGACGGACAGACGGACTGACATGCATAAATCGACTCAGAAAGTGATTCTATGAAGGTTCTCAAAAGTAATTAGGGGTCTATCTCGTTTCCTTCTCCATGTTACAAACAAATGCACAAAGACATAATACCCTTACCACTATGTGGTGTAGGGTATAAAAACGTAGAAATAGTTGTGGCCTGAAAAATTGGATGTGGAACCATTATGAGAGAGAATTGCTAATATTCTATCGGAAGAAATCGAAAGATTTTCAAGACTTTTGGGTGCAAAAAGTAATAGTTTTTTTAATTATCCTTTTCGATAAAGGAAAAATTGAATATGTATAAAGTATTATCGAACTGTTGCAGCGGAAAAGTTAGTATGATGTATAGTTCTGCTTGGAAATGTTGTCCAAGAAATAATAAACGAATTGTGCATTTTGAGTACTAAAATGACCTAATATGAACAGTTGAAGTACATCTAAAATTTTATAATAGACTCTTGGCTGACGAAGTAGTCGGCAATTGCTAGTTAAGCATAAAAATTTACATGTCTTAACAAACTGGATCGATCATGTTGTAAAACATAACAATGTGACACAATTAATGATATAACTATTCTTGTAGGAGGAGACATTTAGTGATTAATTGATTTCGAAAACAAATGAATATACCAGATCAACAGGCCAACACTTTGGTCATAGTCCTAATTACCATCGGACAGTGAAACACTAGAAATAATTAAAGAAAACGCTTAGAAAATTATGAAAGAAGAGCCAAAAAATAGAAGACACGTGCAATGGCGTTTGGATATTTTATACAGCAAACCAATTCTCGCCCAAACATCCTGAAACGGATTTAGTACAAAGATACATTTTATCTAAGATTCAGTTGCAATTAACATTTTCGACTTGTTTTTGGTCTCATTATAAGTCCTCCCATCTCTGCATAAATTTAATTTTTATTTATGTTAGAACTGTATTATGCTCACTCATATGTGAGTTCACGATTCTGCTCTGTTTTCAACGCTTTGCTGTCTTTAACCGAAAACTTAATTGTTTACCCAGCAGGTAACCATTTCAACAAACATCCGGCAGAAGGTTACCACACACACACACACATGTACACACATGCATGCATGCATGGAATTAATGTCTGCCTTTTTGTCCCATATTAACACGGTACTTGACAAAAACACACTACTATTCATAAATCATTTTTCTTTTCTCTGGTTCGGACCCTCTTGGTGAACCGAGTTCCAACAGCTTAACACATATTTTCATATGTGAAGTGTAAATGTATTTGATTATGTTTAGACGACTTTCCTGAGGGCATTCAAAGGAAGAAGGAAGGCACAATTTGGTGACTGCCGAAAGATGGCAGATTAGTCGGTGTTGTGTGTGATAAATAGTTTTTAATTATTTTTCTATTTTGCACACATAGTCTCTCATCTTCTCTTCTTTTTTGGTAAATGAGGGTAAATGTTTGGAAGTTTACGACATACATGAACCTTAAAGACATTTCGGATATTTAAGGTTCATATAATGTCAGAAAATGTCGGGCGCAAAGGTTTGTGTTTGTGAGCAAATTTAAGAGTATAGCCTTAGGCAAAAACCTGTAAAAGTCAGCACAGTTTTAAGAGAATATCACAGACTTTAATAAAATTAAACAAGTAAGCAGAGGCTAAACAGGGTAAGATAAAAAATTGCAACAAAGTCAAACGCCATAATTTTTTTTTAATTTTATTGAATGAAAGCCAAAAATGTCGGCATAACATTTAGAATAACCTTTCCAGCCAAATATAAAGGAATCACACTATCACGCTTGAATTCTATCACGAATAACTTTTTTCTGGAAAATTCTCGCCAAAATACTTTTGTACGCTTGTGAACAACCAACCAGCTGTCACTGGAATAATTTGAACAGCTGTCGGACGAGTGGCTTAAAAATGAAATGACTGAAGTTGGTTGCAGTTTTTATACCCTCCACCTTACTATGGAGGGTATATTAACTTTGTCATTCCATTTGTAACTCCTCGAAATACTCATGTCAGACCCAACAAAGTATATATATTCTTCATCAGCGTAAAATTCTAAGTCGATATAGCCATGTCCGTCTGTCTGTTGTAATCAAGCTATCTTTCGAACGAATTGAGATAGAAGGCTAAAATTTTGCACACGTATTTATTTTTTCAGTAGGCAGGTTAAGTTCGTAAATGGGCCATGTAGGTCCACGTCTTCGTATAGCCCCCATACAACGGTACCTCCCGATATTCGGTATTTTGATGATTTTAGCGCCATTATTCATCGGAATTGTTTCAAATTTGGTATTTGAAGTTCGAAATTAATACTACAGCCTAAGACATAAAATTGTCTGTGCAGGTCCACGTCTTCGTATAGCCCCCATATAACTGTACCTCCCGATATTCAGTATTTTGATGATTTTAGCGTCATTATTCACCGGAATTGTTTCAAATTTGGTATTTGAGATTCGTAATAGATACTACAGCCTATAACAAAAAATTGTCCACGTCTTCGCATAGACCCCATATAACGGTACCTCCCAAAATGCGGTATTTTAATGATTTTAGCGTCATTATTTAACAGAATTGTTTCAAATTACATATTTAGAGTTCTTGGTCCTTGTATAGGCCGCATATATCAGTACATCCCTATATTCGGTAGGTAGAATACCCACCGAAATTTTTTGAGATGTCGTATTTGACGTTCGTAATGGATGCCTGTGACAGAAAATTGTCTATGCTGGTCCAGGTCTTCGCACAGCTCCGATATAACGGTACTTCCCTATATACGATAGTTTCAAGATTCGAATTTCAATATGGTAATGGCTTATGACAAACAATGACTATGTAGGTCCATGTTGTATAGACCCCAATATAACGGCTATATTCGGTATTTTTAAAATTTTAACAGAATTTTTAAAGACTTTATTTTTTGAAAATTTGAAAATTCGTTTGAAATGGTGGAGAGTACTCAAAATTCGGTCCGGCCGAACTTACTGCTTTTTAACTTGTTTCATATCACCCTATATATACAACACTGGATATAAAAATATTAAACATTTTACGGTTCATTTTCATTTTGTTGTATATACATATATATATATATATATATATATATATATATATATATATATATATATATATATATATATATATATATATATATATATATATATATATATATATATATATATATATATATATATATATATAGCTTATCTATGGATAATTTTATTTAATTTTTTTTTTGATATATCTATATACATACATAAGGAGGTAAAAATGCGTGACTGACTTATTCCCCCCTTTTGGTGTTTTGTGAACGGATACAGGCAAACGTACGAAATGTACTAAACAGTACTAAATCTTGTATTGCGTGGTTAGGATCACTGCAGGGTTGGAGGTTAAATATGTACAAAAAAGTATTAAATCCTACTAAATTTGGTATTTGTTTAAGGAATTGCGTTGGAAGTCAGAAATTTGGCATTAGGATCACTTTTTGTGCGGTTCGGTTGATACATGGCTGGGGATTTAGACATACGTACTCAAAAGTAGTTGTATTAACGTTGGAATTTTGGAAAGAAATAGAGCTGGGAATGTGATATTTTATATTGAGGTTTCTGTAAGTATCTGAAAATGAGATATGGAGGTGGTTTTTGAAATGTGTACAATAATTGTACGAAAAGCACTAAGGAGTTCTAAATTTTGGTATTGAGTGAAGAAAAAAAGCTCCAATCCTGATACAAAAACTGGTGTTTATGTTTAAGATACGGAAATGGTTTTGGAAATGTATGTTATAATTGTTCGGAAAGTACTTAGTGGTACTACATAGGGTATTTGCTAAATAGAAGGAACTATACTAAAACATGAAAACTTTGTATTAGACAAATGGAATTAGTGAAATTTAGAATAACGCTCTTCGAACTTTAAGGATACGATAAGTTCTAAAATGGTACTAAAATTTTTAAAATCGTACCATTTGGCATGCTTTAAATACATTTAAAGTTACAATAATTTCTAAAATGGTACCACTTGGTATTATGTGAAAGAAATAGAGCATAAACTTAAAATTTGGTATGAGAATCAAGGTTGGAAAGTAAGTTTGACATAGGAAGGTAGTTTTGGAAATGTGTACTAATTGTGCGAACTGTTCTAAATGGTACTAAATTTGGAACAGTCTGTGACTTGGGGTGAACGGATGAAGCTGGAATTTTGAAATTTTCTATTGGGGTCGGAAATGTGTACTACAAATACACGAAAAGTGCTAAATAGTACTATGTTTGGCACAGTTTGGTATCAGATGAACAGATAGTGCTTGAAATCTGAAATTGGGTAATAGGGGCGTTGTTCATGTGTAGTTTCAGAAATGTGTAGTATAATTGTACGAAAAGTACTTAGTGGTACTGTAAAAGTTCGATACGTTTCACCTCAACTTCCCGAGTCCAGTCAATCACGGATGCTGATTAACACCACGGGCATCTCCTCGGCGGAGACCGAGACCAACGGACGGTAGTTGTTGAGTTAGCTCTCCTTACTTTACCTTGCTCTTATCTCTTTTTTCCTTTTTACAATTCACCACACACGCGAATCACCCTCACCTCTACCCTTCCTTTAATAACTCTGGGGAGCTCTTTTTTGTGGTTGTAGCTATCGAATACTTTCCTCCACTCCCCTGAGTTAGGCAGTTACTATATTTGGTATTAGGTGTAGGCATATAGAAAACAATCTGAAATTTTATGTAAAGATTGTGTTTGAGATTTGGCGGTGGTTTGGAAATCCGTCCTATGGTGGTACAAAAATTACTAACTGGTACAAAATGTTTAACAGTTTGGTTCAGGTTGATCGGATGAAGCAGGAATTTTGGTTATTGTTTTATATTTGAAGATGGTTTTGGAAATGTGTACTACTTGTGCACAAAAAGCACTGAATCCTACTATGCGAGTATTTGGTATTGGGTTAAGGGATAGAGTTGGAATCCCGGAATGTTCCTGCAGGAGAATTATCCAAAAAAATTTTTTGAGTTACCGACAAAAGTCGGTATAATTTCGATAATTTACGACATTTGTCGGTAAGTTTGCTACGAAATCTAAGTGGTCGCTACGACCTACAGATAGATACCAATGTTGTCAACTTTTACTTCTTTCTTATATCAAAATTTTCGGTTTCAAAGTTACCGCCTTTTGTCGGTAACTCAAAAAATACTGGTGTTGTGATCTGGATGTCGTTTTACAAGTGTGTACTATAATCATTCGAAAACAATTAAATTATACTAATTGTGGATCACTGTAGGTGTCTAGGATGGAGAGATGTAATTTGTTTTTGATATGCTATGTTAATGAATTTAGTATTGGATCAAGGATAGAGCTGAAATTCTGAAATTTGATATTGAGGTCACTGTTAGTTTCTAGAGTTGACATATGGAAACGTTGAAATAGTTTTGGATTGATATTTGAATATGGATCCATTGTGCTAGGTTTTTACAAATATCGTCCTCGATAAATTTAAGATTTTGATAAAAATAGGGAAAACTTGGACTTGGAGTATATATGTCTGAAAATTTAGATATATAAAGTTTTATTTAAAAAATGTTTGTAAAACTGAACAAATTGTGCCGTTTGACTACTAA